TCACGAATCTCTGTCATCAGGTATCGTCTGTCACGAATCCTGGACCACGTTTCCCAAACTGCAAGTCCCAACTTCGTGCTTCGAGGGTACCCTCGCACGTTTCGCGCGTTTATTTAAATTCCTTCGCACCTTGGCTGGAAATTTGGACCTCTGGCAATCGCGTGTGAAATACAGAGACTCGGTTCGCGACGACGCACCTAATCTCGATGTACGAAGGCATAAATAACCGGTATAATATACAGAGAATCTCTGGTACAATTGCCACCCTATTCGAGCGGCGCTCGCGATCCATCTGAGTCGCCGGATATATGGGCTCCCTTCAGAATGATCCTCCCTCCTTCAAGCACGGATATCAATTTTATGTGTCGGTAGGACGATATCGGCCTCGCCGCTTCCACCCTATCCTGCCGCTTGTTTATGGCTGTATTAATTATTCCTATCGCGTATACGCCGGGCTCCGCTGGCTTCTATTCCCTCACGCTGCTGCAGTTGCAGTTGTAATGCATCCGCGGTCGGCCGTTCCGAGCTGGCCGATATAACCACTCGTCCGCCTCGTGCTACGCGCAACGATTTAAGGGGGCGCGTTCCATTTGCGTGCCGTTTACAACCCGCTGGCCCGCTTACAGCTGCCTACCCTCTGCACCCTTTGCTGTATTAAGTCCGCGTCAGAGCCACTACGCTGCTGCGTACGCTGCCAATTCAATCGCCGATTGATTCACAAGTAGCACACGCCTCGCTCTCGCTCTCGCTTCGTTCTCTCAGTTTAACAGAGGCAGTGCGTATGTTAATTAGAAATCTAAAGTTGCGGTATGTCTAGAAGCTCTGTGTAAGGGAACGGGAAAGGAATACGACTGGACAGACATTTAGATGATATCGTAGGATGGCGTGTGATGAGGGATGTTAACAATGTATTAACCCCTTGGCTACTGTGGGCGCCTATAGCCGCTTAGAAATTTTGCGTTTGTGACACGGTGGGCGCTTGTTTTCACAAAAATGGCGCACATCGTCTCAATTCCTGCCGTATGGTACGGCCGTTGCGTATCAAAATCTGCCGTAGTCAAGGGGTTAAGAGTAATAGCAAGGCGAATGGGTGTGTGGTCTTATTTCTAAGGGAGTGCATGGAAACGTTTGGGAGGCTTCTCATAGCGAACGGTGGCATCGGGCCCAACGCGAAAGAACAAACGATAGCGTCAAATCCTTTTGTCGGAATGGCTGTCGAATAATTCAGAAGAAATGCATGTCTATGAAAACAGATAGATTTGGCTTTGACACTAGGTTCACGGACGTTATCTGTATACCTGTTTCTAAGGACACCTGTCAAATTGACAGGTAAAGGAAACCACGTGCCACTTTTTTTTAACGATTAGTTTAATTTAAAAACAATTTTATATTGTATTAACAGTCTTAATATAAGTTAACTAAATCTGTTACCATCGTATAATTGGAGCAACCATTCCATCAAACTGACGGGTTCTGTAAATCTAGTGTTAAGTAAGGATGCAACGGCGCGAGGCGGTCAGAAGAGAGTTGAGAATAGAGTGGAGAATTGAAAAGTAGGCTGATTTGAGTTGAGTTAAAAGGCTGAATGTATGTAGTAGAGACGTAGTGAATAGAGGATTGTACGAAACTTAGTGTAATATGTTAGTTAAATAAAACCTGTTTGTTAAACACGCAGATCTCTGTCTGCATAGGATGAATTTAACCAAAAATCCTACATTATTTGTTCGTTTTCATTCGTGGTGATGGGGTGAAGTTTAAGGGGAGTTAATATTGGATGAGAGAAAGGGAGATGGAAAATTAGGGAACCTGATTTTTCCTCTGATTTTCTTGGGGCGTCGTGTGTAACCGATCCCGGCGTCGTTAGAATCTATTTTCGAATGGGTCTCGTCGTTATTAGATCCCCGTGACCCTGGGTTCGCCGGTATCGGCTTCCACGGGCCGAGTAGCTTCGATATTGGATCCCGTGACCTCGTGTCGTGGACTCCGTGTCCGGTGAACCTGCAGTCATCGGCATCGAGTTCCGCTTCCGACGTGTCTTAAATATTCATTCGTTTGGTCTCGTATCTCGCGAAAATGTTCCCTCTTTTATTTATTTATCTTCACGACGTGCATTTGTATTCGTAATTCGAATTTCCCTCCATTTCTTCCGCGTTTAAGATCTGCTTAGGTTATACTTGGGATTTTAATTCGTGCTTTTTCTCTCTCTCTCTCTCTCTCTCTCTCTCTCTCTCTCTCTCTCTGCGGCGATTCCAGGGTGCAACGTGGAGTTTTTCCAATTTATTTTTGTCCCTTTCCATCACGAGATCCGCGAGCACGTTGCAATTGCAGCTTTGTCATCGATGGTCGGACACGATACGCACCGCTATAGGGATGAAACGGCGCGAAAATGCAGCCGCCTCTCGTCGACGGTGGAAACGCGACGTCGGATTTCATGGAAACGGCACGAATCCATTTAATATATCAGCCAAGACGCCGGCAACACGCGACGCCAGGCAACCGTTCGATCCGCGTGAAAAATCTCGGCGAAAATCGGCTTTCGACAGACACCGTATCATTCCGTGTAACTCGCGAGCGACTTTCCACCATATCGTCCTTATTGATACACGAAGAGGAAGCCTGAAGGGGCAGGAATTTTTCGAAAGCAGAGCCGTTTGAAATATTCATCGCCCGGAAAGGTGGAGATCGATGGAACAAGTGGAACAAAGTGAAATCGAATCGAGCATTGAAAGACCCCATAGGTCCGATGTCCTGGTTCAAGGATACATTCTAATGCAGTTCGGATTTTTCTCTTTTCATTTCACTAGCTGACGTGGAACATTAATTAAATTTTTCCCATTGGGACATACTTTAGAATTTGAGGGGGTACTTTTAATTGGCAAATGTAAGGAATGAGAGAAGTTATTTTATTCTTTTGTGAAATATATATTTATTAGGAGTTAAATGGAACGTAGAAGTAAAGTATAAACTAGAAGACTAGACTGATAACTGATTTATGATCACGCAACTAACACTCTCGTGCCAACTCTTCCTCTGGCACTGTAAACGACTATCTTCTTTCATGTCCTGCGCCCTTATTTAAATTTTGCAACCTGTCTTCTTTCATGCTCATACTCTCTTTCTTACCCTCGTACCCTAAACACTCAGACTCGCTCTTCACTTGCATTCAATATTGCCATAAATATCCTATTCATACGATCCTTGCACGAGGTCACTCGTCCCCCGCACGCACCCCAGGTAACATTCTGAACATTCGGCCTGAACCCTAGGATTTTTCTCATCAGAATATACCTTATAATCGATCGACAAAATCTGTCTAGACTATCTACCCAGATTTCTGACCATTTGGCACCTACAGTGTGCATTGTACGTACACCTACCCCATAAATTCGAAGATAATCCACCAAACATCTCCAATATCAATTTACCCTTAGTACGTTTACTCTCCCACTCGTTCTCCATCCTTTCATTATCCAAATTCCGAGAATTTACCCGATAAACGTCCAAACAGGGTAGCAAACTGCGAACGCTAAAGCGTACACTACTGTATCCGCGTCATTTCTCTCAAACAGGAACATCTTGCCAGCTGCGAGGCATGAATACATAAATGGACCTTAAATGGACCTTCGCGTGGGAAATATCTGATTCCAGCTTCTTGTAACAACGCGAATACGATCCGAACGTTCGTGGAGTGTACCTCGTAACGAGACCACGCTAAATCAACACCGGTCTGAATACACGGCGAGATCGAAACAACGCGGAATATTCATATATATCCTTTCACCAGCCGCCCCCAAAATAATACACAATCATCCGCCTTGGTTCTCGCGGCAGGAAACGTCAGAAGGATCAGATTGCCGGCCTCGTATTTTTCGGATCGAATAACGGATCGTATCCTGTCAGAGATTCTAATCCGAAGGCAAACGAGAGCCGTTTGCGCGCGTTTGCTGCTCGCACGCGACCAGCCGTGGTCTCGCGTGTACTCTCGCGAGTGTGTAGCCGGATCCGTCGTACGAGGTTTGATCCTCGACTCTGGCGTTCATATTTCAGCCGCGGTTATCCTCCGTGGGCCAACGTCGCGGCAACCTGTTCCCCGGGAATCGATCGTCCAGCGCCTAGATAGGGTTCGCCGCGGGGTTGAACCGGGAACGAAGCAACGTCCACCGCCTTCGACCAGATTTAACGCTGGCATTTACATTTAGAAGAGCCTGCCGAGGTGTTGCTTGCTAATCGGATCCGGAAAATGCTGCTCGTCAGCCGTGAGATTCGTTCTTGCTCTAAACGCGCCCCGATGCCGGTTCCCTGCTCCCTACAGTCGCGAGATTAACGAAACCACCGTCTGCTATTGGATTAGGGCTTCGTTCTGTCTATGATTCCAATGTCCAGGCTTGGTAACGCGTAGTTTGTGGAAACTGACCACCGGTGTCAGGTTTGGCATCGGGTAGAGAGTAAATGCTCTCTGCTGCGTGATTGCTCACCGTAGACCTGCCTAGCTTAGGCTACTTGTTTCACCAATGCGTTCTTGCATTAGCAAGATTTTGTCAAAGGTTCTCTGATTCACTGAATGTCCACGGTTTTTTGGTTCTTGTATCTCCTCGTTCGTTTCTGATATTCCGGGAACGAAGATCGGTAGGTTCTCAAAGCTCTCGCGAGGTAGGTAGATTCTAGAGGAAACGTCGATAGCAGGGAGGAATTTTTGCTCCCTTGCATTGCTTGGGACGATATTCGTCGGACTGTCGGGTGTAGTAAGGAAATGGCTTTGAAAGAGACAACGGTTAGAGTCTTTGTAAATTTCTATGGCAAGAGTCTGACAACTGTCATGGCTTTCCGCAGACACGGAAATTTGACAGAGTGCAGCAGTACAGATAAGAAAAATAGGAAATGTATACTTTTAATCTTATACTATTTATTGAGAATGGACAGTACTTTGCTTCGATGAATTTAACAAGTTTAATGAAATTAATGGAACAATTTTTGCTAATAAAACTCTTTCTGTTCCACAGCTGCTGACGGGCAACAATAATCCATTTTCGGAGAAGGAGCAGATCTTCGACCCTGCGATCGTGGCAACGAAAGTCCGTTTCATCCCTTACACCTCGCACATGCGAATGGTATGCATACGAGTGGAGCTTTATGGCTGCCCATGGACCGGTGAGTGAAATTTATAACCGCCCCTTTGGCGTCCTATGTCCCACGATCCCGTACTTGCGACCACGTATCCATCCGCTAAATATTGAAAAGAACGCAATGGTACCGGCGCGGCTTCGGGCATTTTTATCACGCTGTCACTGTTCGCCGTTTTATCGGATCGGGGGAACTCCTTACCCCGTTGCAAAAGCGTGCACGCGACCGAGGGTAGTTCGAGACCGTATTTCCTGCGTTCTGTCAGCCACGATTTTCGTGCTTCAAAAATCTAATACCATTCTCTGCCCGTCGTTTCCGGCTTACCATAATTCCATTCCTTTTCCATCGAAGCAAACGCGGTGAATAGTCGGTGAAAAACTCGTCGCGAATACAAAATGGTAACCGGCTTCACCGGGCGGAACCACTCCCGACGATCAGCGCGAGAAATAACGTGACAAAAGGAAATACACCTGGTCCCGCGGATATCCCGTATCCCATCGGATTCTTACAAGCACGGAGACTGTCGTGTACAGGTGTGTTGCGTTAATCTGACCCCGATAGGGTTCACCGAGGATCCTCCCGTACGTATGCAGACCTGACGCGAACATTGCTCTTCCCTTGCCGTTCTATATATCGCAACGTCGCGTCGATATTTCCTAATTACCTCATCATCGTGGCCGTAAGAAGTATTTCCAAAGTCTACGTTTAATTTTCATCACCGAATTATCCCGTTCCTTCCGAGTATTCGAGTCGTTTGAACGATTTGACAGCGCGCCGGTTGAAAAGTCGCCGAAGTTGTCAAGTGAACGATATTTTCATCGGGGCGTCGTTACCGGTGAAAAACAACGCTGCCTGGTAAACGACTACGCGTATTCAATTTCGGTGCCGGCCAGCGGAACAATTACTGTAACAAGAACGAAAATATTTTCCATATGCCGGATGGTGATTGTAGTTGAAATTACTGCAATCGTACGGCGAGTGTACGCGTGTTCGTGTTCCTTGCTGCGTTTTCCAACCCCCTCGCACCCCCGACGCGCAAACCGAATAACACCATGATAAATATAGATACGGTATTTCTATCGCGCCCGCGGAATTTATCGCGGGCGGCGTTTTATCGGGAAAGAAAGCAATGGAAGGCGAATCGGTGCCATTTTATCAACCACTCTCCTCGTTTTTGCCTATCGTTCGCGCCACGGACTAATTTAATACACTCGGGCTTTGAATCCGTTATCTTTTACCCTTCGTCCGCGCTCGCCAATGGATTCGATATTCGCTGTTGTTACTCCACGGGATATTAACAATGCATTCGCTTATTCCTCGAGCGAAAGCGCCGCGGCTTGTACATAGTCTCTCCTGTTTATTGACATCTGTCAGCCGCCGCGCCACGTCGGAGGAAGACTTCGAATAAAAATCATTTCTTCCGGTGTCTGGAAAGTCGGGATCCCGTCGAATGTCACTCCGCGCCGGGGTGATGAGCACGTGCCGAGATTAAATTACGCGAGTCTCGCGTGCTTCTTGAATAAAAGCTTTTTAAACGAACGATGGCGAAACGGCTCTTGGTTCATAATATCCGTATCTAGACGTTTCAGCTCGACAAGTACTCCATTTTGACGTTTGTTATCGCTGACTCGATGGCTACGAATGAATCGCGATTAGGAGATCTTGATATTGTACATTGAAACCCCCAGTGACTGTCAAAATTGACAGAGCGAGAGAAAATATTATTGCGCTCTTTTGTTTAATATTTTAACATTCGAATGTGAGACCGTCAGCAACGGGTATGTGGATGACACAGTCTAGGGTGTCACTTAAGCATGGTTGACAGCGATGAGCCTATTACTCTGATACATGTCAAAGTTTCGTGTACCCGTCTTGACTAAGGAAGTCGTTAAAATTCTATTCGAAGATTCCAATCATCGAACAGAATTACGCGAGAACTGTTTGATCATCTCCCAAGTTCTTGTTTGAAGTTCTCGACGTCTCGTTGACTCAATGGACACGAAAGAATCGCGATTAGGAAACCTTGTAATTGTAAATCGAAACCCCTAATAACTGTCAAAACTGACAGAACAAGAGAAAATATTATTGCGTTCTTTTCTTTAATATCTTAACACTTATAAGTGAGACCGTCAACTATGGGTACTTGGTTGGCACAGTCTAGGGTGTCAGCTAACCATGGATGACGCAGCGATGAACCTATTACTCGGATACATGTCAAAGTTTCGTGTCTTCGTCTCGATTAAGGAAGTCGTTAAAATTCTATTCGAAGATTCCAACGATCGAACAGAATTACGCGAGAACCGTTTGATCATCCCCCAAGTGCTTGATCCATTATATACCGAAATTCCGCGAAGTTTGCATGGCGATGTACAAAGCGACACCGTTAGATAACCGCGAAATAACCGGGATAAACGCGAAATAGCGCAACTTTCCCTCACTCGATAAAACACGAAGCAGCCATTCGGCTTTAAATTATGTATACGAGGAAACCGAGTCGCGATATAACTAGCTCCGTGGCTGAACAGAGATTTCAAACTTTTCCGCTCGGCGTCTGTTTGCCAGGGACGTGCGCTTTGCCCGACGACCGGGCGCAATCTTATCACGTATCGTCGGGAATAAAATGTCCGTCTCATCGCGGCGATGATGCATAGTTCACGAGCATATGGCGGCCGCGCACTACCCTTTTTGTTCTTGCTTGCAGAGGGTCTGGTGTCGTATTCCATGCCCCAAGGAATTAAGAGGGGCTCGGAGGTTGACCTTTCCGACAGGACGTACGACGGCAGGGAAGAAGGAGGTTACCTCTCCGGGGGACTCGGTCAACTTGTCGACGGGCAAAAGGGTCCTGACAACTTCAGATTGGACGTCAGTGGTAACGGGAAAGGTGAGCTGCCTGGCGCTCAAGCGAGATTAACGCTAGGGCTTGATCGCGTCCAGATTAGCGCGATAGAACCGTCTACGTTCCCTCGACTAACCTAACCCCGCTCCCCTGCTTATTATTTCGTTCTTCCTTCGCTCTCGATTCATTTCCGACTCGATTCCGGCTGTATCTCCATCCTCGTCCGTAGCTTCCACTTTGCGGTTTCTTTTTCCTCCCCTCTGTTCTTTCATCGCGTTACGGAGGATCGTTGAAATTCGGTTTGATGGCGGGAGCTAATAAGGAGAAAGAAGATAGTCCGTGGAAAGAAGGGAGCGGATCGTTTAAGCTAACAGGCTTGGTCTCGCTGTTATTTGGCTTTTTTCCCGGGAATTAACAATTCTCCGGCGAGAGTTTCCCGGAGTGTTATTAAATCTCAATTGTAAATTCGCCGTTTCGTTTCATCGGCGGAATTAAATTTCCCGGGCGTTATCGAACTGCGTATATATTGCCGCGGGCCGGAGCTTCTTCGCCATTGGCGGGGTGCATAAAGAAGCTCGATAAAGAGCCGAGTCGTTTCCTCTGTCCTGTAACACAGAGGACAGCCCTGTATCCGATGCCCTCGATACTTTTCCAACTAATTAGGGAACTCCAAGGCAGACGCGACCATCGGGTTCTTCCGTTCTCACGAAATCTCGAATTCTCGAAGCGGCTGATCCCGGTCGATCCTGGCCAAGCACCGGTCAGCGAAAGCTCGGCGACTAAAATTTTCCACGCGTCGATTCCAGGTGTATAGACCGGCCTGCATGGCGATAAGAGAATTCCAGGAAGCTCGCTCCCGGACCTCGAATGCTCGGACTCCTCCGGAGGCAAACGTGTTCCTTGCCGCACTCGAATCTGTTCCAATTTACATTTATATTGAACCGCGGGCTAGACTGCAAGCCACACTGCTGTTTACCGGCTCCCTGGATACATTTGTGTCTTTCCATTTACGCCACGGGACAGGCCGGAGCCGCGTACTTTCAGCTTCTTAAACTTTTAAACCCGTCGAGACTCGCGCACCCTCTCTCACCCCTTCTCTCTATTCTCTGTTTAAACCCCCGGTACCACTATGGACTGGCTCGAATCGAGAGGAACCGCGGTGGCTGGTCGTCCCTGCCGACGCCTTGCACCACGCGTTCCGTGCCGTGCAGCTGCATCCCGATTCTATTTCCAGGCGACCCTCGTGAAAATATTTCCCTCACCCGTTCCGCCCTCGTGCCGACGTTCAACCACGAAGAAGCCAGCGTCGCTGTTTCCGTCGTTGTCCGGCGCAACTTGCCGCAACTTCCCGTCGACGTTCGCTGCTCTCGCATTCCGTTCTCGTTAATAAGTTTCCTCGGTTGCATGCAAGAATGGCGCGGCGAACGGGGGGTCTGCGCAGGCAGACGCGATCAGAATGTCAGCGGGAAACGGCTCGTCAGCGCCGAGTGAGTAATTAGGTCATTAGGCAATAACTTGCGGATTGCAGTTTAGCGAACGTCGAGGCGAGGACAGGGACCGTTACCGATTCCAATATCGCCACGAGAGTCCCCGGTATTTCCCAAGTTTCCTCGGGATCGCTTCGCTACTTCCCTTGTTAATCAATTTTCTTCTCCAATTGCCCGCGAACGGCTATTGTCCAGTGGCTATGAATGATCGCCTACGTTCAGTCCTTCAATTATAAGAATACGTACTCGAAACCGATTAGCTCATTGCGAATCGCATAGAAATTTCTAATATCCATTCCAGGGATCGCACGTTTTGACAAAACAGTGCGTTGACATCTAAGGTGCGTTGGCATGACAGACGAATCGCGAAGAAACGAGAAAACTCGCGAGCTGTACGCCACGTTAACCACTCGCGATGGCAAGAAATTCACAGACGCGAATTCGACGTCTATACCACGATTCTGTGACAGAAGTATTACGACGTGCGTGACACGTCTTTCCAGCGCAAGTGGCTAAGAAGACGTACCACGATCGTCCTAAATTTCGCCAACGATCGCGCGTAAGAGCTAGAAAACGCGAGCCATCGCGTCCTCTCTCGTCATCCCCTTCCGTCACGACGTTCCGCGTAGAAGATGCCAGCCCACGTGCACTCGTTCCTCATTTACCCCGTTTAAATTCGCTTTAGAAATCGATAACACGCGAGCGTCGGCGCGTATGCCGTTTTACGATCGCCATACGACCGGCCGTATAGTCTCGGGATGGTTTAAGTGAGAAAATCATCAAGCTGCGGCGAGTGGAGAGGATGGTATATCCACGGGCTCGCCGGTTATCTTCCCCTCTGAATGTTCGGAATTGATGATGTAGATAGCGACCGAAGGCGGCGACGACAGGAAACTGGAAACTATTTACTCGAGGGACGATATTGAGGGTGGGGTTTATACGAAGGCGGATAGATCAGGGCGATATAATACCGCTGCATGGGTCGTGAACATTGTCGGCGCGAGGGAACGAGGCCGGAAAATGGCAACGTTTCGGGGGACACCCGGATGCCTACAGCGTCCACGGTTACGGCGAATTGAAACGAAACGATCCAGACTCCTAACTTTTAATAAGCTCCAAGGGACGGTGGTAGACCGTCCGAGGGACATCTCGATCGTCTCACCCCTTTTTATGGAACACCCTTTGATGGAACTGCAATCGATGGAAGATCAAGTTCCGTATTTATTTTATCCGGGCGAATTAAAAATCGGAGAAAATTAAACGGGGTAATTGCAGGAAAGGCGCGATTGCGAGGGAATAAAATTTTCCAAGCCCGTCCGGACGGTGGATAAAGGGGCAGGATTTATAGCGCGAAGAACGAATCTCGACCGCGATGTATCTACTCCTCGCGATCTCTTAAAGCCACATTAGGGGTGGACGAGAAAAAGCGAAACGTAAATAAAAGCGGGAGGTTCGAGCTCGTCCGTGGTACCCTCGAATAGAGCAGCTTGCCTGGATCTTGGAAAAATCTCGATTACGTCTCGATTAGTTGGCCAAGTGCTTGCCTCCGCGCAAAAAGCTAGCCCTCTTTGCCTTTTTTCGGGTCATCCTGTCGGCCAACTTCCCGCACAGTTGGCCGGCTGGAGTTGGCAAAATGGTGAAATCTCGCGAGATCACGCTGTTCGACGGAAAGTTCGGGGCGGAAAACCGCAGGCAGCGTCCGGTTAAAGGCGGAAATTCGAAGGGAACCGCGAAAAGTAAGGGAGGAAGCGGGTTCGGAAAAACGCGTAACTCGCGGTCGCGGCCGGCTTTAGGGTTATCGCAGTCCATTTTCAATCCGCGCTGCCTCCCATGGCTGGATCGCGTGCTTCGTACGCGTATTACCTCGCGCTCTGGCTATAACTGCCCCGCGGAAACTCTTCCATTTTCGAAAACCGTGTTCCGTTACTCTTGCGGCGGCCACCGACGCGCTCGAAAACGGAACGTCCGTGAGAGGAAAATGGGTTTCGACCGTTGCAAGTGGGTTACCGTGAAAGTTCGTTCTGAACCGTGATTAATATTTCGTCGGTGCCCACGGCGAGGGATCGATGCCGGCCAGGGGTTCAAAGATAATTCCCGGGAAATTAGCGGCAATGGTAAACCGACGAATATAAATTAGGGCTTTCTCTCGGCTCGTAGCTCTGCCCGGCTACGTTGCTTGTTTCTGAAACTTGAGAACGGCCAGGCAGGGCTTTCGACGAGTCACGAAGGTTGATTGTTAATCGGTGGCCAGGAGCTAGTCGAGGGAACGTGGCTGGGTAGCAGAAAAGTTGAGAAACCGACGAAGGTTGGGACGTTTCGTGCGAGGCGTTCTAGTGGACTCGTTAGCGGAGCTTAAAAAGCTTTACTTCGGTGGCAAGGATGTTTTATGTCTCTTTTATTTCTCTTTCCTCCTTTCCGCCCCGATAAACACGGATATTTCGTACTTTCGAATACTTCCCGAGTTTATTCGACTCGATATCCAAGAATCGATACACCGCGATATTCTTCAATTCCCAGAAGCGTATTCTTCCTTAACGCAAATAAATGCCAGCGAAGAAACGTTTGGAAATATTACCCCAAAATGGCGGCAGTAGCGTCGTTTCTAAATTTATTTCCTATCGAATGACTTTATATTTAAACTTTTCAATAAAAATTCTACGTTCGCGATTTTTCTTTTGATATATTCACTCGCGAGCAGTTTTGTAACATTCGCTATTTATTTCAAACATGGAAGTCGTCCAGGCACGAAACGTCGCGTACTAATTACAAGTCGAAATGTCGACGGGGGATGAAAAATGTCGCGAATAAGATATAGGTCGATCGAAATAGGGGATTCATGCTCGAGTGCAGAATTTTCATTCGTACACCGATTGCACCAGCAATTGCGCATCTATCTCACACCGTGTCTACACCTGCGTGTTACCAGTCTGAAAAAAAATTTTCAAATTTACATTTTGAATCTACCGCAATCCCTGCTCCACTCGTAGTCGCTATTGCGAGCGGATAAAATTCGATTCCCTGCCAGTTCTCTCGGTAACTCGTTACCGCGACATTTGCGATAAACATGCCGGTGCATCGAGTCGTATTTAAATAATTCGCGAATTCTCCAACGAGCAGGGGGTCTCGGAGGGACCGGAAAAAGCGGACGGGGAGGAACACGAGGGGTTTCCGTGTCGTAGAAGAGGTAGAAACGGGGGGTGGGAAAGTGAATAAATCCGGGGTACTTGCCGTGTAAATTCGCCGGCGAAGATGGCGGGAACTCGATGCAGCGCAGATTGCGCGAAAACGCCTACTATTTCGCGTTCAACTGGCGATTAATTAAGGCAACATTCAAAGACCAGCTGTCGTTGGGGCGAAAATAGGTTGGCGCCCGGGTACGGGCCAGAGCTGAAAGGACGTCGCGCAATTTGCAACAAATGCGTTCGCGTTGAAACAATTTGTTCGTTTGATAGGGACCGGGCTGTTCAGGCCGCGCGCGCGCGCGCAAACAAATTTCGCGTCACGCGCGATTCGCGGATTATTTATGTTACAGATTTTATTGTCTCGTTTATCGGCACGCGGTGTCGACGGGATAATCGGATCCAACGACGTAACGCGTCATTTTTCAGATTCGCGACCTGCCGATCCACGTATCCTCTATTTCGCGCTCGTCGCGTAACCCGTTCGTGTTCATATTGTTAAAAAACGGTGTATATGTGTATGTAAATGGGAAAAGGGAAAGGGAAGAGAGGGTGAGAGGTCGACCTGGTGGAATACGTACATTTGTACGGGCGAATGGATGTGAAAAAACAGTCAACCGTTGGATTGTGTCGCAGCCGATCGTGGACGTTGTTAAACTCGAATTAGTCGCGGATTCGATTTTTATCGAGCGCCACTGGTCGCCGAATGTCCGCTCGCTTCTTGATGCACCGATCCGCTGCGATTGTCGAAGGATCGATGGAAAGACATTTCGTGTAACGCTTTTGTCGCGATGCACCGTGCGGCAGGGGTGTAACGAGGCGGGATTAAACCATGGCCGATCGATGAATTCCATGTTTTCCTATTTTTCCTGTGTAAGGGAAGAGGAGAAGAGAGGGCTTTTCAATATCCTGGATCAAGATTGTAGTAGTGAAAACTTAATACTAAAGGAAACTCTACATCCTAGCATTGTAGGGGTGATCCCTTCCCCTGGGTTTTGTCCTTTGTCAGTGGCGTGTGTTTTGTTTCCCGTTTTTTGGAGACGTCTTTGACCCGCGTGGTCCTAAACAGGCCAGTTCTAACCCTTCGCCCCTTAAACTCTTCTACTGCCACGCCGAAATTGCATGTTTCCCTCTGGACACCACGAGAGTGCACGCTAGATGCAAGATTTCTTCTAATATTTTTCTCATATTCTAAGAAAAATTTTTAATTGTTCATTCGGGCCCTTTTTGTTTCAAAATATTTCAAAGGGGCCCTTTTATTTTCTAAATAGCCGTTGTATTCAAAATGCACCAAAGTTCAAACGCTCCGATCACCAATGTGGCAGTCAAAGTGTTAATAAAGATCTATACAATTTTTCCACCGTTTCCACTGACTACTATTCCTTTGCGTTATAACCCCTTTAACAAACATCAATATCCTAACTGGCATAAGGATACCAAGACGTAGGCGTTTCCTGTTATAATCAGCAGTGAACTCATCACGAAATATCGCGAATTTCTTGAAGAAGAAAGGGAAAACTTACAAGAAAAGACATCAAGCAGTCCAAGTAATAATTTCCATTCGCGAGAAGAATGCTAAATAAGATTGTACACCGGTAATAAAATTATTCAAGTATGAGAGGAATCTTTGGATAGCGTCACCCTGCATCGAGATCTATCTTTGCTTCCGAAGGAACCATCCAGCTTATCAATTCTCGAAGTTGGGTTGAGTAGAGCCCATAAAAGCCTTGCTGAAGAACTCGTCAGGACACACTTTTTGACAATCCACCATTTGCACCACGCGTTATAGAGAACTTTGAACCTCCTTTTATTTTATATCACCAAGAAATATAAAATATAATCAAAATCAAAAGTTCCTTTTGATTTATTAATCCGATGTTACCACACAAACTTGCATAATTTTCAAAAAATTTGTCTGCGGAAAATGCATGATGGAGAAACGAGTCACGTGTAAAAAGTATAATGAATTAAATATTTAATTATAATACGTCGCCTTATCGAAGCTCGCATACTCTTACACCTGTTTTTAATTGTTTCTTTTTTAACGATCTATCGAATGTCCCACGCTATTGCGCATTCCCGTAATAACGAATATTCTCTTCTGTTTAAGGGTACGAGTGGGTAGGCTGGAGGAACGACACGCCGAGCATGCTTGGTCGTCCGGTTGAATTAATGTTCGAATTCGACTATTCGAGGAATTTCACTGCCATACACCTGCATATGAATAATTACTTCACCAAAGATGTACAGGTATGTCGAATTTTCTATCTTTCATCGACTACGGCGGATACATGCAACGTTTAGCTTATTCCATTAAGTAGTATATTCGATAATTATTCCGACGTATTTATCTCCGCCTTCACTCGCGTGTAATATTGTCTTACAGATCAATACGACATGCTACAACTCGATATTTCAAATTCCGTTCAATAACTACCCTGCGCACGCACCCTCCGCACAATGTTCTCCTGTATTTTTAACGCCACTGTATTTTCCTGCATTTTACACGCGTTCTCTGGTTTCCCGTAACGCGATCGCTTTCGTTCCCTTCCGACGAGAAGACACGTCAAACAAGCTTTTCCCTCGTGCTCTAATTTCTGCTACTCCATTCTTTCTCGCGCCTCCGCCATTCCGAATTCATTGTCAGTCACTCGCTCCGAGCATCCGCGTGAAATTTTGACTACTATAAATATTACACGAACCCCGACCGTATCGTTTCCCGTACATTTTTCCAGGGCACCTCGAAATCCGCGAATCTTTCTCACGGAACCATATGCCAACGCGCTTCTCGGGATTATTCCGATCAATATTCCCACTGTATCCTCTCTGCGCGAAGATCGATGTTTGCTCAATCTGTATAAACGCCCGGCGAGATCCAGGAATTCGTTATAATTCATTAAACTTCGCGGATGTCTCGTTAACGAGCCAGGGAGGGCCCTAAAAATCGCTGCCAAAGCGCTCTTTAAAGCCGCTGCGCGTTATCTTAACGAACCAACAGCTTCGTCCGCCATCTTCTCGAAACTTCGTAAAGCACAGGCGGAAGAGGAACAGGAAAAAATAGGGGGAAAAATAGAACAAAGAGTTGGAAACTCTCGATGGACGAAGCGATTCGAAACTTTTCGACGGAAAAACCTGCCGGACTATATATCCACGAAATGCACCGTAGGCGGCCGCCATGATAGATTCGTCGGTGCGTGGAGAAGCACTTTATTCGTTATTATTATACGCAGGAAGAATAAAAATTAGGTAACAGTCGCGATTTGTCGTTGCAAATGAAATTTTTGAAGGAACGGAATAAGGAATTACCCCTCTCGGACTATAGTTATCATCCCCTTCCGCGACACGAGGCGATCACAGACTGCTGCAATGGCGGAGAGGGAAGGAAAAATGGAGGAAAAGAGTTCCCATCGCGTTCGACGATTTCTACCCTGTTTATTCGTCCACCGATCGCTACTGTATTCTCTACACACACGCGATTCTTCCGCAGGTCTTTTCCTACGCGAAGGTTTATCTTGGCACGGGTGGGAACCAGTTCAACGGCGAGCCTGTCCATTTCTCGTACATACCGGACCTGGTGTTGGAACAGGCACGTGATGTTACCATAAAGCTCCACTCGCGCGCCGGCCGCTTCCTCAAGCTGCAGCTGTACTTCGCGGCGCGCTGGATCATGCTCAGCGAGGTAATCTTCGAATCAGGTAAGGGAAACACAACGGATCCTCGATAAAAATCTATTTTTCATCCCCCTTCGCCGACCCTCACGTGCACGCGCGTGTGTACCTTGCGCCGGGGTGCAAAAAGGAGGACGACGGGCACCGCCGGGGTGGGAGAAAAAATACGGGGACATCGGCTGGATGGATCGGACGAGGGTGGGTACAGGGGTGTGGGGGTCGGGGTAGCGAGATATCGGGAACGAAATAACTTCGCGCGGATTTCAAGGCTGCCACGGAAACTTCTGCACGAGCAGAAACCGCATCCGGCGCACGTTCCGAGGCCGACGCTCCGCGAACTTTGGATCAAGAAACGGATGAGTTGGGAAGTCCCTCTAGAGCGGTCGATCCGATTTCCAATTTTAGGTGACACGTTCGCCACCGTGGCGATAGAATCGTTCGAGAAAGATGAGGGATAATCAGACAGTGGGGCACCGCGATACGCCCGGAAGCCTCGCTCCAATGGGACAATGAATTCCCCGGTGTAGATGGCGCGGTGATCGCAATGGGATTGTTACTCGGGCTTGCAATAACCGGTGTCTCGTTACAGAGGAGAGATTAATTTCTTTTCAGTCTTTGGATAGAGCAAAGGATATAGGTTAGTTTAGGTCAGGGCTGGAGAACCGATAGCTCGCGGGATATACAGTCTATTTCCTATTTTCGATACAGTGTCTCCTGTCGTGCACGTTTGATTCTACATCTGTGTAATAACGTGACGTTTGTTTGTGTTGGAATGCTAAAGTCGAGACATCTTACATATAACGTCGATGTGAAAATGTTTTCTTTCTATTGCATATTAATGTATAAAAACAAATTCCTTTATTCAGACGAATCAGTCTCTAAGCAATCGTTGTACAGCATACACCAATCGAGTTGCCAATTATTAAAGCGTTGCCTTTCTATAATTAGTGTTCCTTTCTTTTTAAATTCACTGCCATCTCAATTCTATCAGTTTGTACGTATCTGTTGGATCTCGCGAATGTCAAAAGTAGAAGCACTGGCTTAACCCTCTGTACTTGGCGATCTTTTCGTTACAGAAGCATAGTAATTCGAAAATTTTCTGCCATAAAGTTATTTTCAAAACGGTAAATAGGACGTGCAAATTAACCCTTTGCGCTCGAGGATTTTTTGATTCGGGATTATTCCGATCAATATTCCCACTGTATCCTCTCTGCGCGAAGATCGATGTTTGCTCAATCTGTATAAACGCCCGGCGAGATCCAGGAATTCGTTATAATTCATTAAACTTCGCGGATGTCTCGTTAACGAGCCAGGGAGGGCCCTAAAAATCGCTGCCAAAGCGCTCTTTAAAGCCGCTGCGCGTTATCTTAACGAACCAACAGCTTCGTCCGCCATCTTCTCGAAACTTCGTAAAGCACAGGCGGAAGAGGAACAGGAAAAAATAGGGGGAAAAATAGAACAAAGAGTTGGAAACTCTCGATGGACGAAGCGATTCGAAACTTTTCGACGGAAAAACCTGCCGGACTATATATCCACGAAATGCACCGTAGGCGGCCGCCATGATAGATTCGTCGGTGCGTGGAGAAGCACTTTATTCGTTATTATTATACGCAGGAAGAATAAAAATTAGGTAACAGTCGCGATTTGTCGTTGCAAATGAAATTTTTGAAGGAACGGAATAAGGAATTACCCCTCTCGGACTATAGTTATCATCCCCTTCCGCGACACGAGGCGATCACAGACTGCTGCAATGGCGGAGAGGGAAGGAAAAATGGAGGAAAAGAGTTCCCATCGCGTTCGACGATTTCTACCCTGTTTATTCGTCCACCGATCGCTACTGTATTCTCTACACACACGCGATTCTTCCGCAGGTCTTTTCCTACGCGAAGGTTTATCTTGGCACGGGTGGGAACCAGTTCAACGGCGAGCCTGTCCATTTCTCGTACATACCGGACCTGGTGTTGGAACAGGCACGTGATGTTACCATAAAGCTCCACTCGCGCGCCGGCCGCTTCCTCAAGCTGCAGCTGTACTTCGCGGCGCGCTGGATCATGCTCAGCGAGGTAATCTTCGAATCAGGTAAGGGAAACACAACGGATCCTCGATAAAAATCTATTTTTCATCCCCCTTCGCCGACCCTCACGTGCACGCGCGTGTGTACCTTGCGCCGGGGTGCAAAAAGGAGGACGACGGGCACCGCCGGGGTGGGAGAAAAAATACGGGGACATCGGCTGGATGGATCGGACGAGGGTGGGTACAGGGGTGTGGGGGTCGGGGTAGCGAGATATCGGGAACGAAATAACTTCGCGCGGATTTCAAGGCTGCCACGGAAACTTCTGCACGAGCAGAAACCGCATCCGGCGCACGTTCCGAGGCCGACGCTCCGCGAACTTTGGATCAAGAAACGGATGAGTTGGGAAGTCCCTCTAGAGCGGTCGATCCGATTTCCAATTTTAGGTGACACGTTCGCCACCGTAGAATCGTTCGAGAAAGATGAGGGATAATCAGACAGTGGGGCACCGCGATACGCCCGGAAGCCTCGCTCCAATGGGACAATGAATTCCCCGGTGTAGATGGCGCGGTGATCGCAATGGGATTGTTACTCGGGCTTGCAATAACCGGTGTCTCGTTACAGAGGAGAGATTAATTTCTTTTCAGTCTTTGGATAGAGCAAAGGATATAGGTTAGTTTAGGTCAGGGCTGGAGAACCGATAGCTCGCGGGATATACAGTCTATTTCCTATTTTCGATACAGTGTCTCCTGTCGTGCACGTTTGATTCTACATCTGTGTAATAACGTGACGTTTGTTTGTGTTGGAATGCTAAAGTCGAGACATCTTACATATAACGTCGATGTGAAAATGTTTTCTTTCTATTGCATATTAATGTATAAAAACAAATTCCTTTATTCAGACGAATCAGTCTCTAAGCAATCGTTGTACAGCATACACCAATCGAGTTGCCAATTATTAAAGCGTTGCCTTTCTATAATTAGTGTTCCTTTCTTTTTAAATTCACTGCCATCTCAATTCTATCAGTTTGTACGTATCTGTTGGATCTCGCGAATGTCAAAAGTAGAAGCACTGGCTTAACCCTCTGTACTTGGCGATCTTTTCGTTACAGAAGCATAGTAATTCGAAAATTTTCTGCCATAAAGTTATTTTCAAAACGGTAAATAGGACGTGCAAATTAACCCTTTGCGCTCGAGGATTTTTTGACTAAAGAAGGGTACGAGTTGAAAAATATTCTGTTACAAAGCTGATGATATTTTTTGAGCAGTAAATAACAAATCGTATAATAATTAACACGTAGAATTATTTAATTTCGATACCTCGCACACTGTTACATTATTTTAAATTTGATATATTAATTAATATCGAGCCTCGAAATTTTATCAAATGGCGACTGAAGGGTGCCTCTCTAGTGCAGAGGGTTAATTGTAAGACGTAGAATTATCTCCATGCGTTACTTTAAATTCCCAATAGATATTAATTAACAACCATCTTTAGAATCCGATTAAATGGAGACTGAGAGACGCCTCTCGAGCGCAAGAGGTTAATTCTTTGAACTCCACAGATTGTGGTTCGACGGATATTTCACTCGTACACGCTTCTGAAAATATAAATTGATTTAAGCTCGTTGCTCTCAACCTGTCGTCGTTTATTTCAAGCACGTTTAGAAGAAAGCAGCTGAAATATCGAAGAAAGAATTAACAGCGGGTTCGTTCTCCAGCCCTGATTTGGGTATTTGCGGCGTGAAATGTTAATAAACCATGAAAAGTGATATCGAACGCGATTCGAAAATAAAATTGAAACACAAATTTCAAGATATCCGAAAATGATTTTTCGCGTTTAACGGAGATACGACTTCATTCTTGAAAATTTTACTCGTTCGTTGCTACCAGGGATGCACGCATGGCGGCCATTTTTTTCTGGTAAACAAACCGAATATTATTAATTAATATAAAATCATTTCTCATTAATATCGCGAATTGAAGAGTTCACGCGAGAAACGAACCTTGCAAATCTTCGAGCTTTTGAGTAACGACTATAGAATAGGTACACTTCCGTTGTTATAAAAGAATTGATAATAATTGACAGGAGTGGCTTTCGATGTGAAGGCGAGAATTTTTCTCCGAATACCCAGGAGACTAGGGCACGAAATAAAATAGGAGGAAGAAATGGCGATTAATTGGAGAATATTCTCGCGATTTGTAAAGTATTCAGAGACGGTTCCCTCGGTTATACCAGCAGCTCGATGGATTCGGAAGCATCGCGGCCGGGACGAAGACGGAAGTATCCTCGGCACGTTGCGCGAATCAGAGCACGTGGTCGCGAAACAGAAACGAAACTTGGCGGTTGCGGATCGCACGCCCTCGAAAACTTTCGTCCCCGTGGCGAACAGCGAAACCGTCGTTAATCATTCTCACGGTGTCCTGTTCCCTCGTTTCCTCCGAAGATAACTTCGATTGCTTGGCCAGAATTCCACGGAAACCTGCGCCATTCGTCCTACCACGCTCCTCTTTAACTCTTCGTCCCGTATCGCGAATCCATCTCGATTAATCGAATTGGGGAACGAAGCGTAGTATCGTAGGCTTAGGGAAGAAGATGGCCATGAAAGAGGAAGAGCCAGTGAAAACGAGTGGAAAAACTTTCGTTGACGATCCATCACTGGAATTTGTAATATTTTGAAAATTTAAGGAGTGAGACCATTTTCAAAGAAAGTTTGAATAATCGAGAGACGATTCTCTCGAGAAGACAGTGTCGTGTCGAGCTAGTGGGGGGCTACAGTTTCTTCTTTTTCCGATCACTGCTCAACCACCCGTATTCTTAGTGCAATGTTATTTTAGTATTATACAAAGTTACTAGATAAAGGTTTTCGATTTATAGGATTATTGGATAGAAGAAGATTGGTGGGAAGTAAAAATTTGTGTAAATAATTTTTAATTAATTTTATTACCGAGCGATCATTGATTATCTCAGACCTTCTTAAAGCGTGGATCATAACCCCCTAGGGGATGATTAATTATTGTTATGTTAATAAATAGTATTACAAGCATAAGTAAGAAATAATCGTTTAGTATTAAATTTATTTTTACGTGGGAGCCGAGATAAATTTTCATTCGCAAAAGGGGATTGCGGAAGAAAAAGTTGGAGAACTCCTAGGTTATCTTATAATAGCCCCGAATGAACCACTTTGCCTAACACTAGAATTATTAACCCAGTGAGAATAACAGGCTTCGAACTTTTTATTCTCCCAGTGATTAAAAACACGTAGCTGCATTCAACGAGATTAACATTGACTTTTATCGGGAAACAAATTTTCATTAGCGAAAGGGGGTTATGAACGAAAAAGTTTAAGAACTCCTAGATTACGCGTTTAAAACTGGAATTATAGATGCGGTGAAAATAACAGGTTGCGAACCTTCTAATCTAGCAGTGATTAAAATCGCCTGTTTTATTTATCCTATTAACTATCCACCCTTGGGTTATACCTTATCTAGATACGCGTTACGATTCGATGACTCCAGTGTCAGCCCTGCAACAGGAGCCGGTTCAGCGGAAAGTGTCCATTTTCCCGCAACCCTCGGCAACGATCTCGGCCCACCCGAAGCATTTAAAACACCTCGAAATTACGCGATAACCGTATTAATTTGGAGCGCGGTCAGCCCCTTGCCGTGCGTTTAAAGGCGCCACCCCCCTCCGTTAACATTCAATTCCTTTGATGGCCGCAAATTTCATTAGTCTTCATCCCCGATGCGCAGTAATCTCCGAATGGAACAACACCGACGATGAGGAGCCGAGGAACAAGAGTGCCATTGTACTGGCGACCGGCAGTCCCTATCAGAATAACGAGGGTCCACTGCAGAGAGACGAAGTAAAGGCCACTTTTAATAAGGAGGAAAACAACGATAATGCCCGTAAGTCTGCCCGTCGGTTTCTGCTATTGTTGCATCGAAGGGTTCCCTTCGTAATTTTCCGCACGATTTCCACTCTTCTTTATACCCCGTCTCTGTCTCTCTCTCTCACCCTCCGCAACCCTCTGCGCGCCTTTTTCCCTCTCCGAGGCTGCAGCTTCGAAAATTGAATGCCGATCACGGACGGCCTTTTCTTTCCACGTTGCTCGCTTTTTCTCCCCCTTTTTTCTCCTCTCTCTTACCCCCGTTCCCCCTCTTCCGCGCTCTCGGTGTTCGTCGCGAAACCACTCGGCGAATGGGTGCACCGTGCCAAGGAAGGGTTGCATCGCGACGAAGTCGAAGGAGGGGGAGAGGGGGCAAGAAAGAAAGGAGGAATTTGATTTTCGGGGATTTCGTGGTCGATTTTGGAAAAGGGTTTAACCGGTAACGCGGATAGAATGACGAGGTTACGCGATACGCCGTCGCGGAGGAGCGGCGCTGCGATCGATTCGCGGAAATTCGCGAAACGGAGGCGCATTGTACGAACGAGTGGCGAAAGGCCATGCATATTTCCTCCAAGTTGATTCGAGTTTACGTATTAAATTAGAAACTGCTTCCTGTATAATTTTAATTCCTGCGCGATATTCGTGCTACGACCGACAGATTGGAATTAACATTAAGCCGCGGGAAATGCACAGCGTAGCCCAGTTTTCTCCAAACTTTATTAATACGACCCACACCATACGAATAAGAAAATATCGCGTAGTGCATTGTAAATAAGGAAATGAAACATTTCCAACGTAAATGCCTTTCGGTGTCGAATTTTATTCGCACTTTGTTCCAACGACCGCATTGTGCGCCAACCTACTTTCGCGTAATAGTCTTGCTCTATTTATCCCGATATAAGATATACGAATGACGCTTAATCTTAGCTCGCTTTTCGATTCATTCCGATGACGACGGAGTCGAATTAAAGCGTTTACGCACAGGTTGCACTGTCCTCTAGTTCCTTTAACGTTTCCTCTAGCAACGTCTCCCAGGTGTTCTCAAAAATTCTCGGTCGGTGATCAAAGAAACAGAGCGGAAGAGAGCGACGATACCCTCTGCGGCCTCTATAAGCCGATAATATTCCTATGCCCCGCTCTTTGTTTTTGCCATCCTCGAGTAGAAAGCAAAATCTAATTAATCGCCCTCCCCGTTTGCCACCCCCTCAGTCGAGAGAGAGCACCTCGCTTTGAAACAAAGTGTTAAAAGAAGCAACTCCGTCGACTGACCGACATTCTCGCGGCGTTTTCCTCGGTACACTCCCGTCACGCAGCCTTCCTTTTCCCGAGTTTCCCTTTTCCCGTCGTCCACGTCGCGCAGTAAATTTAATTGATCGTTCTGGTCCCCGCTGTCCTCAAATTCAAACCGACTTTCCATAAATCGCTCGAATCGAATTATGATCGGACTTTCTAGTCCGCGATTCGGTTATCGGAATGTTCGATTGCTTTTCGAACCATCACGTGACGTGACGAGCAACGTATGTTGCCCGGTTCCCTTCGCGTACCCGCGAAAACGTACATTTTCCTCGCTTCATTACCGCCGCGAGCTCCTCTCTCTCTCTCTCTCTCTCTCTCTCGGGCCATCGAACCAGACGCATCGAGCTGAAATAAGGGTTGATTTCTCCGGCAACGGGGATGGAATAAAAATAACAATCGTGACGTAATTACTGGCAGTGAAACTTCTTTGGCACGTAACCGGGAGCGCGTTAGCTCGTTGCACGATGGCAGCAAGAAAATTAAAAGCCTTCAATCGATACCCGCGCACGCGGCGGTCAGCTCGGCTACGCTCGGCTTTCCGCGCGATGAAAATGATACTCTGTTTCCCGCGTGACGAAGAAGCGGATAGGAAGCGGATGGGAGCGTTACCAAGCGTGACGTCCGCGTCTCCGAGGTGAAATAGAGCTTCCGGAAAATTTCAATCGATCCAATATGGAACAACGATCGATCGATTTCCGAATTATTTCATTTTTCCTCCTTTCTTTCCATTTTTCTCTCTTTTCGGAACAGCCCCGTTGTTCCGTCATCGAGGCACGTGGGATGACAGTTAAATGACAGTGGATGTACACTCGATCCCGCAATAAAAGCAACGGATCGGCGGGGCGCTGATCGATCGTGATCCAATTACGACGAGCACGATGAACGCAATCATCATTATCGAGCCATCGTGCATTATGCGAGGCTGCCTTCGCGATAATATCCAGCGTGATAGGTCGTGTACTTTGCCGTATTAGGTGGGCAGCCTGTATACAGAGAGTCGTGTACGCGTGCGTGTTTCGGGCGCAAATGTTCGCCGTGCATCGTAAACGCGTGGAAATCGAACGCGCGCAAAGGACGTTTTGCTCTTCGTTAGTCGCATCGATTGGTCGGTAGCAGGCCTGTTACCAGAGAGTCAGATCTTATCTCCGTCGGGGGGAACATGAAAGATAATGGCGAATGCAATACCGCAAATGGTTGCGCGGTCTGAGTTGACGATCGTATCGGGTGCACGAGCAACGTGTGAAGCGTCGTTCGATAATCGAAATGAAAATTTCCTCGCGATTCGTGTCGTCGCGAGAAAGAGAGAGAGAGAGGCTTCTCGCCTCCATCGTGTTTCCTTTGATACTTCATTTTTCGTATAAATTTTCCCGATATTCCTGGAATATTTTATTGACGCTCGAAAGTGCAACGGTACGCCATTTTTGACAGACGAAATTTGAATTTTATTTATAATTCCTTGCCCGTGACGTGTCGACCACTTGCGCTCGATAGACGTGCCACGCACGTCGCGATGCTTTTGTCGCAGAATCGCGAATTTCTTGCCAGCGCAAGTGGTCAACGCGAGGAATAATTTGTAATATTTAATTATACAAGTAAGAACAATATTTAAGTACATACACGTGCGTCAGTTCCAGATAAGAGCAAAGAGCCGGAATCCAAGCAGTTCGTGGGCCTCGTGATCGGGATCCTGACCACCGTGATCGTGATGCTGCTGGCTGCCATCATGTTCATCTTCTACAGGAATCGAAGGCTGAAAGCTGCCCTCGCGCCTTCGACGTTCTACGACCAGCACGGAGACCTGAAGGTAAGCAATATTCCTCGTAACTAACTAAAAGTCAGAACCCAGTCAATCCTTGTGAGCTCTGTGTAAATTGCGAGAAGACAGGATTTCTTTTCTCTTAAAATCTCTTAAGAATCCTCGCTGCACCCTCACGAGGCGAGGCCCTAAAACCAGCCGCGTCCATTGCGTCCCTTTGTTCTATGTCCCATACAAAATTGCCCAGCCCCAGCCACGCGTTTCGTTCTAATTTCCAGTGTAATTCGGGCGCGTTTCGCGCGCTGCAAGCGGAATTGCAATATAAACATACGAAGCATAAATAAAGGGGTCGAGCAAACAACGGGATCGCAGAACCTAGCCGGGGAATTCAATCAGGCGGCTGAATCCATCGTTTAAAACTTTCGAATTACCTCCGTTCCAGGGTTTACATTAACCAAGTCTCATTTAAAATCCCGCGATCCGCGAGCATTCGTTCTGCCCTTTACCTTTCCACGTCCGTCATTCTCCTTGGCGCGCGCCAGGATCCAACCCCTAGAGACGAGGGTAAAAGGAACCGTGGGGCAACGCGAGAACCCGCGGCGATTTCCCGTCGATTTCTCCCGTTGTCGCGGGAAAACGAAGCATCGAACGCGACCTCGTTACCGCTCGACTAATGCCTTAATTCGAAGCCAGCAATTTGCCCAGCACGATCCTGTTTCCCTTGGCTGGCCCCGGGATTTTTCCGAGTCGCCATCCGACAGCCAGCTCGCGGGTTCATTTCGACTCTAATAAAGCCAACGGCAGCGCTCCCGCTATTTGCTCTCCGTTTTCACGGTGCGTTCGACGAAGAAGGCTTTTGAGCAATCATGGAAAACGTCTTAGACCGTGTCAGACCGGTGGGCGTCGGGTACCGGGCATAGAACGAAGGGCGAGAGAGGGAGAATGGGTGGCTGGTCAAATATTTTCCTTAAAGCAGCCAAAGGGCCAAATGGGATTGCGCATCGATGGTCCAGAGGGATCAAAAGGGTAGCTCGATAAATAGCCGCGAGCACGTAAGGAACCGGGATATTTTTTCCTCATCGAGTGTCTTAATTGTCTGACATTTGTTGACACACCACTGAACCGTTTGCTGGAATTAGTATAAGCGAGACTGATCGGGGTATGGATATTGCGGCTGTGACGAACTCCTGTGTTTAGAATAGAGCTGGGGATATTTAAACGAAGGCTAGAGCGTTAGGGGTGAGCAAGAAACCGGTTTGACAGAGTGATCGAGATTGCCAAATGAAGGCCTAGGTTTGAGTATGAATGTCCTTTGCGAATGGTTGCGTAGAGGAATAAAAAGGAAGAAGCAAAATAGAGAGAATATCAGAGAGCAAGTAAGAAGCCAGGTGTTTGATCAGATAGCATCAGGGTTATAGCGTAAACGCGTTATAATTGTCATACAAGCTACCCTTCTTAGAAGTATTCCGCGTTCAACTCGTCGCGTTAGCCTCAGTCAATTCGTTCACACTTTTATTCAAAGCGAGTCGAATCCCTCGACCCAGCAGCGGTAATATCCGCGATATCAGCCAGGACATGTCTCGCTGAGAAATATTTCAAAGTGCTCGAAGCACGTAGCGGGATTATAAGAGAAGGATCACTCGCGACCTAACCCCAGGCCGATGGCCTACATAGGTGCTGTCCAAGTTAAGCTCCGGAGCTTAAGCAGTCCCCTTCGCTCTGTCTCTATTTACCCAAGTACAGTCACTGGCTGACACCGGGTCGGACACGGTACACGTAATACAGACACGTACGTCTCCCAAGGATACGTTAATATGTCTCGTCTTTGCCAACGACGAAGAATCGTCCCCGAAAATCCGCGCCACCTGGATGCTCTGGCTATCCCTCTGAACTATTCGTGGTACTCGCTGCAAGCACTGGCACGAGGACTACGTCGAAGGGAAAAGAAATGGAGGACCGTCGAGGACGCTGAAGCGAGTGTCTGGCACTTGGGAGATTCCAGTCGAACTTGAGCCACGTGTAATACCGGGAACTATTAAAGTTTCGTGTCTATCGTCGTCCAAAGATGGTGGACAGTTCACTTAGCCAGTAGCAAAGGCTGCATAGCCTTTGTCCGCCTATCGAGAGTCCAGGAAAAGAGTTAATTCCCGCTATTAGGCAATTATTAGCTTATTGACAGATAATGGCTATGGAGTCCAATCCTCTCGCTTCCGAGTCTAAGAAACAAGGCGAAAGTGGCTAGAAAGGTACACGGAAACGCGTGGAAACCGTACGAAACTTTACAAAAATGGCGTTCAGTGGAGAACCGGACGCGGATGAAAGAGGAAACGAGACTTTCCGTGTGAAACCCGAGCCGTTCGTTTGATGAAAAATTCCGAGGATCGCGAATCCGTTACAGCCGGTATGTGGATGCGAGGAGATTGTTGGATGGAAATTGCTACGGGTGTGCGTGATCCAAAGGATGATCGTTCGAGAGAGTGAACGCGTTGCCGGTGATAATAAAGGACAAGGAAGTACTCAGTGACCCGGGGTGGTCGCAGCAGGATTAATAACAAGCTGAACTTCGTCCGCGCCAATGGACAGCTCGGCAGTCTTGGGCCCTTCCTGTGAAGTGCTTGGGAAGACAGTAATTAACAGATTGCTGAACGATGGGAAATAATGGGAGCCTGACGATGGCGCTCCAGTCTACGTGGACGCCCTCTAGATCGGTGCTGCCGGGTTGTCTCGAGCCAGGCGCAAAACAATGCTCTGACATTTCGAGACGCGGCGCCCTGGCATATTAAAACGGCTAATAAACATTAATTAAATTTCCACGTTTCGCGTAGACGCGTCGATTTGTTGCTCGGCAAAGCGAGAAGCACTCTCGCATTACGCGAGTACCTTGGATGATACACAATGGACGTTAGTTGATGAGATCGCGAGATAATATTGGTAAATTCCACTGTGCACGGTACGACATTGCGTGAAACGAAATTTCTCGAATTCGTTCTTGATCCTTCCCTGTGTTCATTCCTGAAACACCGAGAGGCCTATGTCAATGGCAGTGTGCCTTGTTTCTTTATTAGCGCTCTCCTGTGACACTGGTACTAGTTCCTAGCAAGGAACAACGAATCACCTGACCCAAACCATCAGACAAAAGACATACCGCCCAGAATTGTTTAAATTTCCACCGTGAGACGTCGAATTCTGTACCAACAATGTCGTACCTGAACCCATAAAAGGCACCGATTGTGAGACAGAGCGAGATCAAAGCTAGTGAAAGACAGAACGTCGAGCCAGGCATACGACATTCGTTTGCATCATTCGTTCCCTGTATTATAGCAAAATAAAAATAATAAAGTCTCAGTGGAGCAAATTTACATTCGTAGAAAGACCTAAACTCTGTCAAATTAATTCTGTAACATAGTTGGACGAAACAGCTTTCACTGGTTCCACGGGAAACGATGAAAAATATGCAAATCGCGAACCGAAGAAATTCGGATTAAATTCGGATCTGAGATTTAGACGACGAGGTCAGAATTTTCCAAAAATTTCGTACGTAAACTGCGGGTGAACGGGGTGCCAAAAAAGGGTCGCCCGGGTATGGAGCACGTTCAGCTTGTACAACCGTGTATAGACGAGGCAGAACGCCGTGGTTGGCGGGGACGCAGCTAATCTTCTCATCGGATCATTACGGAAAGAGACAAAAGCGCTTTCGGTGGGGCTCGCATTTATTACGAAGGAGCACTCCCGTTGAAAGAGGCGCCGCGAGAGCGGCTCCCTGTTTCTCCTCGCGTCGTTCGAGTAGACGAACCAATATAATTCCCGCCGAATAAATTTTTTCCCGCAACCACCGTGGCAGCCGGCCGAGCTGACTCCACTTAATTAAAAGAGCCGGTCGTATGACCGTATTGTCGGCGCGAGACGTGCGTTATCTAGCCGTTCGCCTGTCCGTAAGCAAGTCTGTGTACACACGTTCCTCTTCTCCTTCGTTCTGCCATGCCACTCCCGACATTAGCCATCTGCTACTTGTCTCGCCCCGGTGCTGCAAGACCCTCGAGTTCCGCGATTTCCCCCTTTTCCCTCTTTCTCTCGCAATACCGTCGCGCTTCCGGCAGACTGCGAGCTTTTCTCGGCGAGAATAGATCCGGTGTGTGGGAATCCTCAGCCATGGTGTTCCGATGATAGTTTTGTGGTTCCTGCCGGTTAGTGTCATCTCCTAGGTCGCTGTGTTGTGATAAGGTAATAGGTAAAAGGACGCAAGGAAGGGGCCTTTTACGCCCAGGGGGTGCTGCAAGGAAGGTTTCGTCCTGGGCCTGTGAACTTTCCAACAAGCCCTATCTTAGACAAGGGATACTTAGGAGGTACAGGAACCTGTATACTACATGTAGGAACACTAGGGTTTGAGAGTGAGTCTTCAGGTCGCGAGGAAGATGAGTGAACGAGAAAGAAAGCATGCGTAGGGGAGAGTAGGTTTAAATAAGGGTGCAAGAGCTGTCTTAAGATAGTCCTTTTCGGAGTTTAAGGAAGATTTGATGTAAGAGTGTCAGGTGCATGATCATAAATCAGTTATCACTCTCGTCTTTTAGTTTATACTTTACTCCTAAGTCTCATTTAGCTGCTAATAAATAAATCTCAATCCATATATTTGCCAATTAAATACATAGAAGATCGGGGATTCACTTGGAAGAAAGTCCTCGAACCTTCTTCAAGTAGGAATCCATCTATCGTCGAGGGTGTGAACGTTGTTTGCTACAGATGAACGTAGATGTCCTTATCGGTAGCGGAAATGTATTGAATTTGGATCAGTTTACAGAGGTTTGACTAGGTTTGTTTGCACCAGGATGGATCATCTGATGGATGTGGATACATATGCGAGGTTGCTACGATCGATTATTTATTATCCCGTGCATTTGGAAAGTCTTCGGAATTTTTAATGGAGAAACCTGTTGCGAAAACAGCTTCGCGTCGAAGCTGATAGAGTTATTGTTAAGAAACTTGCTTAATTCGCGATCAACGTTGAGCGAGGAATATCTTCAGTTTGGTATCTCGAGTCTCGTGGAAACTTG